ACGACGGTATTGAGACATCTATTTACCGCGATATTCGATATATCGTTACCTCCCTATCAATTACTCACCCTGTGTTACCTTAAATTGTTAAAGATAAAGGAGTTTTTTTCTCATGCCTTCGCGGTGACTAAGAATGCAGAAACTGAGAAAAAGTCTTGTCTTAAATCACCAAATTGACACCTCATTTAAAGGTGGGGTAGTTAAGTTTCAGAAACCGGCTCGAGTGCACTAAAATTTGAAAGTACACAGCCAAAAAGAATCCGCCCCTTCCTTCAGACTTCCTTACAGAGCACCTCCTCCGCGAGAGCAGGCTGCAGTAACGTTACATATCAGGAAAAGCTAAACACATCTATAGGTTAGCAATACTACACAGCCAAAGCAACTCCGATATTGACTCTGGTTTTACTTCTACTAGTTTCCACTTTCTTTTTGTTCTTAATTTGCTCCGTTACATTTTTTCTTTTGCGAGCAGTAGACGATGTTGAACCTAACTCTGCCATGGTGAAAGTGGCCGCCTGTTGCTGGCGAGTCATTGAAGTACTGCTGCAATGCACGCCCAATGACGGCACGCCCAATGAGGGCACGAGATACATTTGTGCGTGTCAAAGCACTTAAGATATTCATTGCTATCGGGATGTTAAGAGCATTCCATGGAATATAACAAAAAGTGTATCTCGAGCCAGTTTCTGAAACTTACCTACCCCACCTTTAAACGACCTGCTCGTTACTTCAGAGATCGGTTTTCTTTCTTTTTTTGTCGTGCTTGGTCATCCTTGTATTTTGTTACTCCCCTTGGTACCCCTAGACTTGGAGGGAACGTAACACTGAGATAGAGTGAAAAAATTGTGAAAATTCCGTTTTTGGTAATGGTGACACTAATTTGCATAAAAAATACATGTGGGACATCCAGACAACATTTTAACATAGCTCATCATTTTCTACATACTTTTTCCACTTAGGAAACACTGATTATAAGAATATTTCTGTGTCTGTGCAAAATACACCCTTCTTGGTACAAGACTAAAATGCTATTTTCTTGTAATGGCGGCACTAATTAGCATAATAGCATGCCACAGACACATGTGATCACTTTAAGAATAGTTTTATTTTGTTCCTTGACCCTCAAAACATGGATCTGGATACCTTATTTGTTCAGTTATCTGCAATAATGGCTGAGATATAGTGAAAGGTGTAAAAAGAGTTAAACTCGATATTTAGGGAAAATAAACACTAATTTGGGAAAAATATATACGTGGGACAATTTGTCAACTTTTTAACATAGCTAATCATTTTCGACACAATTTTTCCAATCTAGAAAAGCTGATTAGAAGTATATTTCAGCGGGGTGCATGATACCCCTTCTACCCGCCCAACTATACAGTATGCCTTTAAAATGGTATTATGCAATCCGAGGAGGGCTTGTCATGTGGGAGGGCTTGTCCTGTGGGAGGGGTCACAGGGCGTTTGAACATTGAACCTTTGCTCTTTACTTTCAGTTGTCAAACAGCTGTCCTAAAGTATGTAGCCGCTCTAGTTTTTTGATCTTTAGTTTTTAGACACTATGGGTAAGTTCAAGTTCTCCCCCCTGGACATCTTCCTCATGTTTTTGGGCCTGGTGTTCTTAGTGGTGGACATAGTGCTGGATGTATTGGCCGTGGTGAATTTCTACCAGGAAAAGTCTTATGGGAGCCTCTTCCTCCTGATCCTGCTGCTGGTGGGCTCCTCCCTGCTGGTCCAGGCGTTTAGCTGGCTGTGGTACAGGTACGAGGAATCTGAGAGGGATCAGGAGGAGAAGTCCATGAACCAGACAAAGGTGGAGAAGTACCTGAGCCGCAGCCACATCAAACTACTCCATGTACTCCAGCTGGGAATCTACTTCAGGTTGTGTAACACTTGTATACATTTACTGGTGTGTGTTTTAAATTGCCTCAGTTCTATTTGCTTCTTTTGCTGTAAGTGTCTGTAAGGAAGTTTTTTTTCAAAAATATTTCACAGTTCCAGCTTCTTACATGTGAATATTTGCTGCTTTTGCTTTAAAATATACAACATATTATTTTAGTTTTTACTGCATTGGGTACTTTTACTCCTGATACTTTATGTATATTTTCCTTATTGTACTTAAATTGGTCTACTTGAGTACCATTCTTGATGCAGTACTTTTACTTGAAATTTGAGTATTCCTACAGTCTGGTATTATTAAAGACTCTGAAGACTGGGAAGGTAGTGGTTTCTGTTTGAATATCTCTAACTGACATCTCCAACCTCGCCTATTCATTGGTAAAGATTCCACTTCCAGGAAATGCAATGCTGGTTATATACTTGATCGGAACAACAGTACTGCACTTTAAACCACCTCCTACCTAGGGTGGTGTGAACAATGTGTTACTTATATGCACACAGAAGGACAGGACTATAAGGCGCACCTGAATATAAGCCGCAGCAGCTAAATTGAATGATGTGTACATATATAAGCCGCACTGGACTATAAACCGCAGGTGTTTTAATGTTTAATTACCATAACATGTTAGGTAGTAAGTGTATGTCAGGCCATCACCCTTGGCGCCATCTGTTTTCCGCAACGGATTATCGTTGTGCAGGTACAAATACAAATTTCCCCCACCCAGTTATACTGGGCGACGCCTTATCCTTGTTGTTGTCTCCCACGACGTTATTGTGTGAAAGTCCACACACGACACACACACCACACACACACACACACACACACACACACACACAACACACACCACAACACACACAGCACTACACACAGCAACACACACACCGACACACATCACCTCTTTCTCTCTGATGTAGTAATAATTACTTCGCCACGTTCACGACACATCACACTCTGTTCTCTGAAATTCAGTCGTACACCACACGGGGGGGGGAACACCATTTACGCTAACGGGGGGGTAATGCTAAACAAAGACCTACGGACTGGTGGCCACTGGGCCGCAATCGTTATGTGCTTACAAATCGATGCAGTGTAGTGTTGTGAACATTTCAATCGATAGTATATAGTCCGATATTGATTTCATTGTAAGCTATTATGATTCATTGCAATGATGCGTGCCTTGACTAACTAATGACTAGGTATTTGTCTTTGATTACGCCGTTCACAGTCGGCATAGAGGCATATTGGCGATTACGTTGAGTTGTGCATGCCACGACACATGGCCTCCTCTCTGCGCTCTTATGCCGACTTTGAAACTGCTCAGAACCGCCTCTTCCAACACCCTCGAGGGCAACCTATACGGCAACATTTAGCGAACTACCTTGTCGTCCACACATCAGCCCCTCCCCCGTGGTCGACTCCAACGTCGTTCCACCTCACCTCCAACTACGGCCCTCGGTCCTCACTGGGTCGGTGGTGCGTGTGTTTGTTTGTTGTGTCTGTCCCCCTTTGTTTGTTTGTGTTTCCTGCTGCCGACCTCGTTCATTCGTCGGTGGTGTCGCAATAGGTTTACGTTACCTGTATGCACGGCACATGGCGCCTCCCCTCTCTCTCTCTCGTCGCTCTTCCCCCCCCTCCTTTCATTATGCCAAAAGGGGCTATTTCGACACCTCTCATACACGCGTCCCTCCGACCTACGTGTTCGAGTGGGGTCCTTGCTTGCGATCGGAGGCCAGAAAAATGACACCTAGCTACAGGACTGTCCGACCAATAAGAGCACCGTTGGACGTGTTGTGTTTATGACGTGGTACTAATGTGGTTATACCACTTTATGTTACATTTTTGATGGTTCTTTTTATGGTCGAGGAATTTTGTGTTGGGCGAGATGAGTTGCTGTTGAGATGGATATGGGCGCCAGTCTCTTCGCCTCTACTACAGGGGACACACTACATTATTACTGCCGCAAACTGCATACTGGTAATTTTTTTTCTCGGCAAAAATTCTCGTCTCGACGTTTTTAACGAGGAAAGGGAGACTTAAGGACGGGAATACAGAGCATTTTGTATAGTTTAGGACGTAAGGTGAAAAAATTAACATTAAAGTTCGTTCAAATTCGTTATTTACATCTTTTTTATTTTGCGTTACCGTTCTTACGAGAAATTTGAGTTAATGGCTAATATAAAGTCTCAAAGTTTGACGTAAAACAACAGAGATGAGAACTGTACAGAGTTGGTACGAAATCTACAAGTCGTTTCGAGATAAAAGTATAGTAGGTTGGACCGGCACACAATGTCGTGCGAATAAAAGTGGGAGACGAGACTTTGGTCTCGAATCAGAGACAGAACTAACCAATTGGCGACATCTCTACAAGGAAAGGGAGACCGGTATAGTAACGTTACCAACCTATAGATCCGGTTGAGTCGTGTGCACTCAAGAATGGTATCACTACAGTGATTTTACAATGTCTTCATTCGTTCCTGATTTTAGATTTTACCCGTAAGTCGCGTCCCCCCGCTCACACCACCCTCTCTTGAGGGGAGACCCCCTTGCGTCCCTAACATAGGAAACGTCTGGTAAATGTACGTGATTTTGGATGTATTGTGTGATGTCCTTTACCTTTGGGGGCTTTTCGTATTATCCCGGAGAAGTTCTTGTGGAATTTCAACAAGAATTTTCATCATAGAAAATTCTGTTATGAGAAACTGAAGAAACAACCACAACCTTGTTCCACAAGGGTTTATTTTCTCGTGAAACAACGTTAAAAAATTGTTTCACGACATAATCGATGATATGACATGTGTTCCTGTGGTCTTTAATGAGTAGCAAAAGAAATTATAAGGATACTTCGTTGGATAGTCTCCATTATTTCCGTTGACAATAACCTAACTCATTTAGTTCGTCCTCTTATCGAACTAAGAGGTTTATGGCCATTAAAAGCCTGATTATTTGGCGCGGAAAAAAGGGTAAAAAGCTGCGACGCCGAATATATTGCGCACGTTTAATTTTGATGCCTAAAATGTCGATTGCCGGGGTGTGGAAAATTGAGATTGACCCGAAGGATACGGCCAGGCGCCTGGAGGGTTGAAAATTCGCCGCCACAAAGGTCGGTCCTTTTCGACCTCCGGCCTTTCTCACCTATCCATCGGGCGCGTTTCTACTGTCTTCACTTGCTTCTCCCATGCTCTCTGTCTTGCTCTCGTTCTGTCTGTCTGTAATGCTCTCGCTCTGTCAAACCAGGGGCAATGACCAACTTTTGGGCGACGACATCTAGTGACGGCCATGGCACGCGTACCCTCGCGCTGGCAAATTCAACTTTCAACTTTTCAAAACACAAGAACTTTGGATACACTATGTCATGTCAAATGTGTCGTGTCATGTTACTAAGACATCGATGATACCGTGATTTTACTTTGTGAACTTATGCAATACGTTTATACCCGTTGAACAAACAACTTTAATTCATTATTTTACCCTCGCAAGGAGTTTGTATTGGCATGAGAAAGGGCTGTTAGGGGAGACCACG